TGGTCGAGTAAACTCATTTGCACTCCCATCATACACAGACCCTGGAGCTATCGCTGGCGTAGAACCAGCGATAGCTCCAGGAAGCGTGATGGCATGAGAGAGCGCTGCAGAGATGTGGGTGAATGAAGAAGGATGACCTCAGTGCAGCCTGGGTCTTTGACAAGAGGCTGATTATCACGCTGAGCTGGTGACGCTGTCACTGAGGCCTGGGCAGGAAGGCAGGGATACAGTACAGTCAGCAGATCTCTACACACTCAGGCCAGAGGAAAGTCCAATCACAGAGCTGCATTCCATTTGCTTTAAATACTTCACCCCCAAAATACCCTTTCGAACACACTGAGTTTGCCCATTTTGTTTAATCTCTCAGTCCGATCTAGGAAATGATTTTGGAAGAAGGAGCATGTTTGTTTGGAATTTGACTAGTCCGCAAAATATCTTGAGGGACAAGTAGCAGATGCCAAGACGCTCAACAGAATGATTACGAAGGTCTTTTTGTCCCCCAGCTATAAAACTTATGAATGATATTGAAATATTCGGTGGAATCTCATACCTTCTCATCATATTGCTGCTTGGGCTGATGCCCCTCTTGCGTAGTATCTTAACGCATAAAGTTTGTGCGTGTTTAGCGTGGTAACAAGTGTTTAAAGTTGTTAAACAGTCGCAGTTAGTTTTGGGCAAAAAAACGACATGGTTAAGGTTAATAAAAGATCTCGATTTAGGTTAAAATAACTACTTTTGTTAGGCTAGTCTGTAGCTTACATACACTTGCATTGGTTCTGCTGCTCCATCCATGACGGTTATTCCTGTGGCTCTTAAACTATTTCCACCTCACCTCACCAAGTGAACCAACCTTATTTTACAGCTTCCCGTATTTTAAAATAACTTATTTCTCTGAATGGTAGGCCTACATTTCAGCGAGTCCCTTTGAAGCGAGTACAGTTAAAACAAGTTATGCAAATGATGCTCTGTGCCTCACACATCAGAGAGCGCTGCTGTAAAACTCACACACTTGCACACACACACACACCCTTGCCCGCCTTTGTGCTACATTTTGTTAGGAGGGATGGCGCTGAAACTGCACCAGAGAGACAACGGCCTTTGAAGTCTTCCTAACCCGTGGCATGTCATCCCCTCTTTCTGACATCCCACCTCTCCCCCCTCTCACCCTGACTGCACAGAGCCCCAACTTCTCTTGCATGAGTTATTACCCATGCTTGTGTAGTCAGAAAGATTCAGTGGCTTGTAAAAAGCGCTGTGGTTTGGGAGTTGTGTCTAACGCAGCATAAGAGAGTCTGGATTTGCATAGATTTACCCTCAGTAATTCCTTATTAAAAACTCTAAATGTCATCATTCTGAAACACTCTCTCCGATAGAAAACAGCTGAGCCACGGCGCCTCAAAGATTAAAGGATAGGGATCCTCCTCGGAGAGAACGCTGCTGACTGCATGGAGAAACAAGGGGCAAGTCACCCCGTTCCTGAAGCAGCAGGCGAGTGTGTGTAGAGCCGGATAAAGGGGGAGAGTGTTTGAACTGACCCTGCTGTGAGTGCCCGTTGCAGCGGATACACTGAGCTGCAGTTCAAAGCTGAACAAAATATCAACGGGGAGTAGAACTTTATGAACACAGATTGAGTGTCTAAAAACTGTTGCTGCTGCTTATGACAGTTATTTTTAGAAATGTCAACAGTGTCGCAGTTTTTCAATCCAATGTAGGATCCACAACTGTTTGAGGTAACGTAGAGGATCGTTCTGTTCGGACATATAATCATAAACAACTTTAAGAGCACTCGGCCAAGGCTTTTTCCATAAGTGAAAAATAATGCATGTATCTTTTTTCAATTCAAGCCAAAGCATTGGGCATTCTTTTTTAGTAACAGTACAATATGCACATTTTCACTTTAACTATCATTTATTTTAAAGTATGCAGGCTGCAACATTTGTACATCCCCTTTTAATGCAGTTGGATTTTTGTGCTTTCATTCCCTATACTTTATCTGCTGACACGCATACCTATACCGACATATCTGATATGACCTAATATCGACAGGCCCCTCCCTTTAATCCTCTCTAAGGTAGAGCTCATGGGCTAATACAGCCACACACAACGAGTACATCAGCAGTAATACTCTACTTATAATCTGTTGTCAGAGCTTCACTAGCCAAAGATCACTAGCGTCATCCTCACAGTAGATGTATGAAGCAAACTTGCTCAGTGGCGCATGAAGCCATAGAAGTTCACCCTTTAGGTATTCAATTACCAAAATCCTTCCACATCTGTGGGAATATAGAGAAAGCGCAGTAGCGTTTCCTTTAACCCTATCTCTCAGCCGCGTTGTTTTGGCCCATTCAAACGAAAGGCAGCACAGAAATAACTCTGGATTCAGACATAAGTTAGAACTTTTAGTACCTAATATTAAATGAAGTTCGTTCCTGCAAGCTGAAATCAGAATGTATAGATCTCTTTCCCAGTGTAAGTCAATGGGAAAAAGTCTTATTCGGCCAAATGGCATCACAAGATGGGTCGGGAAGTTGTACTTTTTTGATGTGGCCACTAAAATAATTGGCTTTAAACCCCTGTGCTGTGTCTGGGGACCTGAGTCAGCATCAATCGGAGCTTTGAAAAAAACAAAACCTATATTGAGTAATAGTATTTTTGGTGCCCTATTATTATTCTAGACATTTAGGTTGTTAGTAGCCTTAATGTAGCTACAGAATATTACACTCTAATTTGTAGGCTGCAACTTAAAATGTTACAAAACGTTTTGTCATACATTCTTTTCTTTCAGCGTTGTCTTTTTTCCGACACACACCAATGCACACACACTCATGCAGGTGGACACATGACAACATTATCTCAGGGCCTCTTCTAAGTTTTTAATGGGGGAGTGGTCCGTTCCTCCTCCCCGCCTCCTCACACATACTGTAGATATGAACACACACTCCTATCCACACACACTCTTGCAGCTGCACAGCTGTGAGGGTGGGAGGGGCCCTTCCCTTCTGATGAGAGACAGAGGGGAGAGAGGGAGAGGGAGGCAGGGCCATTGTGATTGAGTACAGAGGGAATCTGACTGGACATAGACAAAGCTCTCTCCACCTTCACACACTGCGGGCCGCTCAGTGCCATGGCAGTGTGTGTGCAGTGAGTTCACACCTGTTGACATGCAGGCAGGATTGACCACCATGCAGGGCCGGGCCGGCAAAGCCCCCAAAAGGGAGATGGTGATAGAGTCTCCACAGCAGTACAGGAGCCTGGCTGAGATAGAGGCAGAGGTGGAGGCTGGGTCTCAGGTGGTGGCGGTAAGTGTGCCATCTTTTTCCTAGGAGTCAATCATATTTCAAATCCTCTCTCGTTCTAGTAGTTCTAAATAGAACCCTTTGTTTAAAAAAAGTTTTTTTATCTCTAAGATCCAGTCTCAAGAGCAGCTTTGAAGATTTTTTAAAAGGGGGGAGACGGAAATGGGAAATAGCAGCTTCAGGGCACACCTCCCCAGGGGGTTACATGTTGATATTTTTGTAGGAAATGGAGCACTTGTGGCTCTCTTTGTTCATTAATGTTTCCTGTGCTTCAGAGTCAGGCAGGTTGGCTGCAAAGTTGGTGAAAAGATGATGAGGCAAGTTGACATACTTTTATTTAATCATCTCTTAAAGGTATAGACATTTCATAGTTGGACTAGCGTTAGTGAGACTATTGTTAACTGCAAAGATGCTTCTTTTTGCACAATTCCCTAAATTCAGATTATTTTTGATAATCAAATCAAGATTATTCTACATTTCCCTTACAGAGTGATAGAGTATTATTACATTGAACGTATTTGAGCGTAAAAAGCCTAATAAGAGCCTTTAAATCAAACTTGATGACACATCTGTGTCTTTAATATATTCATGTGAGATAATTACTTTCACAGCTGCTTCTTGTTATCTTCCGTCTGAATGGAAATGATCCAGTTGGAAATCAGGACCAACGATGTTCTGCTTATCAGATGTTGTGCATCCAAAGGGCTGAGAGATATGGAGGGATATTTTCATTACGTCATCAGGAGGATTGGTTGGGGCGAACCAGGATGTAAATCTATGGTCAGACCGTTTAATTGGTCTCAGTGTGTTATGTGTTCATTGGATCCACACCAAGGGGCTAATCCAAATAATGTGGATCATATCCACGCCCAGCAGCCAGGAATGATTAAATGAATGTACAGTAAGGTGACAACTTTTGGTTACATTTGTCAAGTGGATTGTTTACTTCCAAATGTTCTGTTTCATACTGTCTTAGGGCTTAAAGCACAAAAATGCAGCCTCACAGAGCAGTATTAGTAAGCTAATTTATATTTCTTGTTATGCAGACACAACCACGCGTGTTAATCATTTGTGAACAATGATTTTTTAATATCACAGTCAGGCTCATTGAGGGAGGACATGCTGGAGGAATCCCTCGGGTGTTTTCTCTGGAATGTTAGATCTGACGTCTGCAGAGTTTAATCTTGGCTAGATCATGAACAATGCTCCTTAATCTTACCGCCATAATGTAGCATAAGGATTTACTATGGAATGAAGGATCTCATTTGGACTGTATATTTTCCTGCTGTGGGAACTGTTATGAGTTCATGCGTCAGAGAACAGATTTGTAGAGTTGCAATGACTACTTCTTACTTCTCCAGTTCAAGTATTGAACGTGAGCTCATGGCACTGTGACTGGTACAATGGCACACACAGACTCTCACTCATGCATCCGTCCCTCGCTTCTCTCAACTAGCATCTCCTCTTCTGTTAACTCACATGCATGTGTGTCTCTGTGCCAACTCCTGCTGCTGTAGCTGCCAGTAACTCTGTTGAAAGACAATAGCAACTTGTTTTCCAGACAGTGTGCATACCCTGGATGTGTAACTCATCCCATGCAATGATACCCTTATCAACATTAGCATTGGTCAACAAATCCACAAGTATTTCCAAAGTCTACCTTGCCACATGTTGCTAATCCACTGCTGTAATCCTCTCTTATAGGTAAAGCCGAAGATCATCGAGCCCCTGGACTATGAGAATGTGATCCTGCAGAGGAAGACCCAGATCATCAGTGATGTCCTGCGGGACATGCTGCAGTTCCCCACAGACGACTTCCAGGTAAGACGAGGAGAGAATTATTTATTGAGCCCTGGAGGTACATTTTAGTTTAGCTCTTTCCCTCTCACAGGTCAAACTCAGTGGCAGAGCAGTGACCTTTTAAATGTGGTATTTATTAAGACTGCACTTATGCAGAAGTTTGAAATAGCTGGATACAATTACGCAACCCACAAGAAACTTTTTAGACGGCTTTTTGTAGTTTTTTGTCCACATTTTTAACATAAAGTCAACACCTTGTGTGCTTTGATTAGTAATTACGAAGAGGTAGCAAAAGCAATTGCCAGGATATTCAGTTTTGTTGTTGTAATACTCACTTTGGCCACATAAGGCTGAAGTGCATCACTACCCCCTGTTGAGAAGTCACTCTTTTTACAATAGTCTCTCCTTCACGTTGTGTTCCCGGGAAGACAACCGAATAAGAAGATAGAATGTGTGACTTGTTAGACAACCCAAGTTGTTTAAGTTCCTCTTCACTGCGCCTCACTTGTGTCTTTAAGGAAATCAACTCACGAGAATATGAGATAGTTATGACATTACTTGGTGAACCCGTGTGTTAAATCGGCTATACATTTTGGCTCTTGTAAACATTTTCACGCTACATGGATCTGCTGTTCAAAGGGGCTCAGAGACTGTGTCCACATTACATCACCGTAGTGCTGGGATGGATCTCAGCGGGGTCCACTCCCTGTTAGAGAGAGGATGAGGAAACAGGGATGGACCCACGCTGTAATCCTTGGTATTCCTCAAGTCTCCTGAACAAATATTGCAACTAATCACACATATTCCTTTTTCAGAGCCAACTATATCTAACTCACAAGTATTGGGTGTGTATCAAAGCCTGTGGAAATAAGGCTATAGAGCTCATTGTTTTTAACCTATATATATATAATTAAGGCGACAAAGCAAAAGAATGTGAGAGGTTTAGAGAAATAACAGAATATGTGGTGGGAAATCTACACAAACAGTCTGTTTCTAGACTATTTCACAATCAGTTCATGATGAGTGGTTTTCATTACAGGGCTGTCTGCAGAACACAGCCATTAGGAACTGCCCTGTGTGCGTGCATGTGTGTGTGCGTGTGTGTGCGTGTGTGTGTGTGTGTGTGTGTGTGTGAGCGTGTGTGTGTACGTGGTCCGATCCAGTCCATCCATCTGTCTAACCTGCCATATGTTTTACATCAGTGGGCTCAGAAAGGAGTAGGGGGGGGGAGCCCGCCAGACATATGGGTCTTGCGTATGCACGTGCTCTGCATCGATACACCCACCTAGATACGCACACACACCTAGATACACACTTACTGGGCATGCAGGAGAGAAGCTCTACGTAGAAGGAGGTAAGTGTTGGGATGTGGTTCAACTTACCCTGCATAAGCATTCATGTACAGGAGATATTATATGTGTAACTAGAACGGAAAAGACACAAACGGCCTTCTGTAAATGACATTTATATATCATATATGTATATATGTATAACTCTTCATCTTCTCTCTCTTTCTTTTGCTCTCTTTCACTCTATTCAGTTTACATTTCATATTTAAAAAGTCAGTCCATATTTCACATGTACATAGGGCAATGTAGTAGCGTCAAAAAATTGATTTGTGGAGAGTGGGTATTCCATTTATGGATCATGCACATATGTACGGATTAAAAGTAGACACAGTCACTTTCATCTTTCAAAGTGGAAAGAGGACTTCAGAAGACTCACTCCTCTTGCCCATCCCCAAGCACTTTGCCCAGATATCCCTGCTAGAGATTGTAATTCCTGCCTGGCATCCCTCTATCTGCCCTGCAATGCCACTGCCTGTGGGAACATGCTCCTCTGGCCCAGTGGAAGCCATCAAAGCTCCGGTTTAATGACTGGGAAAGGAATGCTGTTAATTGGCAGCCAGCAGTTCTTGCTAACAGTTGATAGACAGGGCTGCGCTTTGGTCAAAGTCTCCCGTGAATGAAACATTCAGGCTGTGTGTGTTAAAGGGTTTGTTGTCAGTGCAATGGAACAAGTACAGGCTGGGAAATAGGCTGTGAAGCTCATGCGAGTGCAGCTAAAGTGTCTATGAAGTGTCACACTGTGCTATACTGCAGTATGCTAATTGGTCATTCACCCTAAAATTAAAATGAAGCACTTGCTTAATCACCCATGAGTTTTTATGATTACCAACTTGGCATCCGAGCCCCCACATTAGATTTTGTACAGCTCTTGTAGCCAAACCCCTGCATTGTTGTCTTGAATAACCAATATCTACCTTACTCCAGATATTTGAACATATTTCCTAACTGAAAAACTGGATCTGGGCTACTGACGAGTCTCTGAAAGCTTTTGTTGGAGTGAAAGGGACACATGAGGGTATATGCTTGAAAAGGAGATTTATGACAAAACTAGGTCATTGTGCCACTGTTTCCGACTCATCTCAGTGGAGTAGAAAAGCAGTACACTAAGTGGGAGCAAGACATTGATGCCCTGGGCGCCTCTTGCTGCTCAGCTATGGATCCCCGCTCTCCTCTCTGGCTGTGTCTGTCCAATAAGGCTAGCAGGATGAATAATAAAGAGTGGAATAATACAGGCTGCAGAACACTCCCTTATTTTTTACCTTGAGCAACTCGAAGGAATACAAATACCCTCTCCTTTCATCTCCTCTTTTAATTAATCATTTGATTAATGATTAATAATATGATTAGACAATATTTTGTATCTTTAAATTTGAAATTGAGACCCAAATAGTGGAACTGTTCCATTAAATGTAAGCTTTGACAATCAGAGCTAACAATCTGAATGTGTTGCCATCCAGACGAATGAGAGGCATGGTGGCATTTCTCTGCTGAAGTGTCCTTGAGCAGAGGCTTGATATTTCACCCTCCTTTGAAGGAAAACACAAATAGTCACGAGAGGCAGTCAACTCAACACCAAACAAACACCCAAAGCAGGAAATGAATTTGCTCTTCTGTATAAACAGCAGCAGGATGTGTCTGTGTGCCAGCGTCTTTTATCGGTCTGTTTTCATGCCTGCTTCTCCGTCTCTCCTCAGATCTCCACCCTGAAGCGCCAAGGCAGGACTCTGTTCTCCACCGTGCCAGAGACTGCCGAGAAAGAAGCTCACTCACTGTTTGTCCAAGAGGTAAAACTAATACATACCTGGACGTAAGCCTGCTTTGTCCGTTCTTTATCCCTCGGCCAAATCCTCGCCCTCTCTGTCGTGACTGAAGCCCGGCTCTATCCTTTTGTTTGGAGCAAAGCCATGTTTTCTCTTCTTTCCCTCAAACACAGGTGCTTCACCTCTGTCCAGATAACGCAACTGGCTCTCACAGCCTGAATCAGATGCTGGAGCTGAATCCAGCAAACGATTCGTTCTGATGTGTTTATGGTGCGCTGATAAAGCAGATTACATTTCAGAGGAAGCTAGCGAAACAGAGAAGTGTTCACATGATTAAGAGACAAGGGGAAACTGATACTATGCATGTCTAAATTGTTTCTGTTAGCCTTTAAATGAACTTCATGAACAGGATTTGTGTTCCCGCCCTCACATGTTTTCGGCTACAGATGGAGTCCACAGTTCAGTGGAGGTGCATGTCATGTTGTTTCAGTGTGCTGGGGTTGGTTGGGGTCCTGATAAATAGGGGATAGTCCCCCGTGGCTGCAGCCAGGAATTACATCATAACTGCATCTGGAGTTGCTGTGAGGCCTCATGCAGATGGGCTGTTTTCTGGATGAATTTTTCCACTTCATATTGACCCTTTGCCTCAGTCAACATGTTTATTATATAAATTTGCAGAATTGATGAGCACATGTTGGACTAGAAATACACTTATAGAGCAAAGACCTACGCCAGAGGACAACGACGCAATCACATGCCTGAGTTGGGAAGTTCGACATGGGTGTGTTCATGAGCTCCAAACCATCATGTAGAAACGACATAAGCTCTTTAAAGAAGATGTGTTCTAGGCCCATCTTATTGCCCATTGTTACCCTATTGCGTGACACATAAAGTGGAGGAAAACGACTCAGTTGAGCCAGAGGATGTGGACCATTTTTCAGACATTCCTAGTTGTTTTTGAGTTAATGAGCTTTCTGAGCTTGTAGTTATTTGTCACTATTCGTTGGCAAAAAAGGCATGACATGTTACTAGTTTTTGTCTACAAAGTGTATTTTCTCTCTTAATTGTCTGCTGTTTACTCAAAGATGTTTAATCCAGTCCAAAAACACATACGTCTGTAATTTGTACTGCCCTTATTTACATTGCCCTTAAGGTGGAAGTAATGCATTGGAGAAGTATTACCATATTTGAATGTGCTACTAGTCAAGTCTACCTTAAAAGCAACAGTCCAACTGAGTCCGTTTTCACTAAAAAGTTGTTGATAGAAATGTAATTTTCCCAGGATGTTTAAGAAACCTGAGCCTTCCCCTGTCTGGACCCTGTTTGTTAGTACGTGTCTTAATTTGCTCTGTTGAAATTACCTTTTTACTTTGTGTCTCTGCAGTGTATCAAAACCTACAAGTCTGACTGGCATGTGGTCAACTACAAGTATGAGGAATATTCTGGAGACTTCCGCCAGCTCCCAAAGTGAGTGTGTTGGCTGCAGCTTTACCTATACATACTATAGAACAGGTACAGCACAGAAAATCTGTTACACAGATGTTGAGTTGCATTGTGGGACATGTAGGATCCAGTGTTGTAATTTCTCGACCAACCCAGCTCCATTTGAGAAAAAAAACACCTTTAAATTCAGTAAATGAAATATATTTCACCTTCAGTTACTTTATTTTCATCCCCTCAAATTAATGGCTCTGCTCTTGTTGCACACATTGATTTATATACAGACCGCATTCTGTTGTTTTCTCTATTGCTTTATATCCATAAATGCATGTGTTGTTTAGCTAATAGTTTGCTTTAGCCATCACACGGCACACAATGCTGCAAAAGCCCTCTCAGGTATGGTGCACATCTTTTTTGGTCCAGTGACACTGCCCTTTGTTTACAGCCCAGTGGATGTTTCAGACAGAAACACGGAAACATGTTTCTTGGAGGAGGCAAGATCTTCCACAACAACAATAGGAGGCTTCCTCTGTTTTTTCTAGCAAAGATAAGCACAGCTATTCTGGGACTGCTGTCGATTGATATCCTTAAATCCCAAGGGAAATCCCACAATGCGATAGAGTATGTGTCCTTGGTCGAGCCACTTTCCTTAAGGACAGGAATGTCCTTTTACAGATGTTGTGTTTCAGTTTTAAAACATCCTAGAGTAAAAAGTAGACAAGCCCCGGCCTTGACCTTGGCTCTGTTTATGCTAGTAGCTCCTCTGAGCGAGCTGGGTCTTGTAAGGGGCAAATGTCAACGCTCCGTCTGGGGTTTGAGCTGCACTTAGAGTAGCAGCTGCAGCACTTGGGCTACTTCCTGTAAAAGTAGAAGCACTTCTGAGTAGTGCCGAAAAAAATAAGCTTTTTACGCTTTTTAGATACTGAAACATATGTGTATATTTCTTCAAGCTACACAGTCAAGATTTTGGAAACAGTTTTGACCCTTCTCATACCTCTGAACGACATATTATTCATATTTGCAATATCCATGACATCGACATGGGGCTTTATTTGGTCTAGATCGCAGCTGCCAAAGGCCTCTCTAGATCTAAGATCCGTGTGGGAAGCGTTCTCATTTACTGAACATTTGGTTTAGTTTGTGGAGCACAACATGATGCCATTACCCCATGTTTACGTAGCCAGTTTCTAATTTGTTCACAAACAACAAAGTCTCTTACTGTTTCTTGAATTTGTCTGTCAAATGTCATTTTCCTTCTCACATACAGCTCCTTCAAGTTTTGTTTACATAAGTGTTGCAGTTTGAAAAGGTCTTTGACTACTAACATCAATCCTTTTGCTGTATAAACCTTATATTGGTACCTTTTTAAAGTCCGCAAGACATGTAAGTCCTTGTGATACAAGGGTCTTACTTATCTTTTTCCTGTACTTTCAGTAAAGTGTCAAGACCTGAGAAACTGGCAGCTCACCTGTTTGAGGTGGATGAAGATGTTGAAAAAGATGAGGTGAGTCCACCAATCCCAAACAATCTCTGCCCCATAGTCTTCTCAGAATCCCTTCTTCTCTAGGCCTCACCAAACCTAGTTCAGTCAGAAATGTGATTATAAGGGAAATGCAATAGAGCAAAAACATTATATTGAATATCTCGTCAAATTCACTTATTTAATTCCACACTTTTATTACAAGCCAACCTTTAGACATTTTGTTTCTTGTTCTATGCTCCTTGCAGTTTCCCAGAATATCTGATATCTAGAATTTTAAGGGCAAAATAATCCCATAATTACCTCGCCTCATGCATTGATTTAACTGAAGGCCAGTGACCTTTGATGCACACTGCGTCACAGCTGAAATCACCCGAGATTACAGAAGTGCAGCGTTGATTTAAATCTTGCTCGTAATGAAGGACTGAACAGTCAATAAAGCCTCTCCTTCCAGATTTTCAAGTGTGTAAATAAATGTAATTTTTACCTCTGTTTATTTTCCTTTGATGGCAGAATACATCAGTGATGTGTGTTCTGTATCTCCTCCTGCAGGACACAGCCTCTCTGGGATCTCAGAAGGGAGGAGTGTCTAAACATGGCTGGCTGTACAAAGGCAACATGAACAGTGCCATCAGTGTTACTATGCGGGTGGGTAACAGCTCCAACAGCCTTTCAAAGCCCCTTCTAATACTGTTAGTAGTGACTGAAGGGATTTTTATATTGATAATGATTGCCATGTTAGCATACAGTTGAAAGGCAGTGTGGTTAAAGGGGCACTATATTGATTTTACACATGAAGTTACTCAGCTTCAAGTACTACTAAGCCTTTGAAAACATATAATATTATATATATAATATAATATATATATAATATTTTTAGTCTCTAAAGGAGATTCATAGTTTCAACACTTTAAAGAAAAAAATTAACACCAACAAGTCCAACAAGTTATTGGAAACACATGTTACTCCTTAAATCATGATTCTGTTATTTTTTGCTTAAAATGAACGAGAGCAACTTAAAAACAATACCTTTATTTTGCACTTCAAACAACAATACATTGATCATGCATTATCCTGAAGAAAACAAATCTTAAAGGGATAGTCTGAGAGATTTGTATTCAATGTGTGACTTCTTTAAAACATCCCTATTCAAGCATTTTTCAAGGCGTTTGAGATATGTTTTTCTGCTTCTCTTAGCCACAGCAGTACAGTGCTTAGCTTCCTGCTGTTCCTCATATAACCCCACTTCACAAAATGTCCCTGAGGCATTTCAAAATAACAACAAGAAAAAAGTATGTTTGGTGAACATTCATTAACTTTACATAATATCTGCCTCTAGAGCTCACACAAAACAATCTGCAATGTTTACACCAAGGAGAATTGCATTTAGTTCATTTTGATCATTTAGCTGTCTATAAATCCCTTCAATATGAGTAACCTTTATTAACTAAAGACCTAACAGCATCTGCGTTGCCTTTTTGTTTAATACTTGGTGTGGTATGTATTAATAATCAGTTGGCATGCAGGAAACACATTTCATTTCATTAAATTACATCATGTTATCAATGTAAATACAAACTTTGGATTTCCTCCAGTCTCTGTGACTTTTTCTCTCTGCACATGTGGACATATAATTAGCCATTGCTTACGGTAGCCTATAACTTGCTGCACTTTGTCATTTTACCCTTGAGCTTTCCCATGCCCCATCTCCACCCTTGCGGTATTTTTAGAGTGAAAGAGGCTGTTTGGGATGTCAACGTCCTCTGTTTTTAACCTCCAGTCCTTCAAGAGGAGGTACTTCCATCTGGCCCAGCTGGGGGACGGATCCTACAACCTCAACTTCTACAAGGACGAGAACACCTCCAAGGACCCCAAAGGAACCATCTTTCTGGACTCATGCATGGGGGTGGTTCAGGTAAAGCATCTTATGTACTGAAACCACCAAGTACAATATTAATTCAGAACATTTAAGTGGGCATTCTTTACCCCTTTAAGCCCCACACAATGTGTTTGTTCCCCCTATAGGTTGAAATTGTGAAATGTCATAAAAATGGACTGTATGAAATCAATATTTGCATCTGTGTGCTTCCAGAACAGCAAAGTGCGCCGGTTCGCCTTTGAGCTGAAGATGCAGGATAAGAGCACGTTCCTGCTGGCTGCAGAGAGCGAGGCGGAGATGGAGGAGTGGATCGGCACGCTCAACAAGATCCTGCACAGCAGCTTCGAACAGGCCATGCAGGAGAAGAGGAACGGAGACCTGCATGACGGTACCCTTTTCCATTTCATTTCTTTGACAGCTTTTTTGTCTGTCTTAGAAGCTTAATTATTTCTGTGTGTTTTTGTTGATGTGCCTTAGGGCTTGTGTCTGTTGATGCTCGATGCACCTCAGGGTTCATCTATTCCCCTGTACCGCATGGAATTAAGTTATCTCCGGGTTGTTTCTTTATGAAAATCACTCATGCTTGATAAACAACTTTATAATCAATATGTTTTCCTTATGTAATTATTTTCTCCTCATAGAGGCCAACACATTATTATGTTGTTATATAATTGCATCAGCTCATGTTGATCTCTCCAACAGATGAGGAGCTTGGAAAAGCAGACCTCTCCTCTGGAAGTTTTCAAGACAGCTTTCAGGTAGCCTGCTTTTTGCATCTGTGGTCACATGTTAAATCCTGCCCTCTGTTTGCACACACCATAAACTGTTGAATGTCTGAAGGTGCCATGTGACCACACTTGGAAGCAGTGTGAACTGTGAGGGCTTTGCTTTCAGTGGATTTGCTATACAGCTGTATTTCCTGCTACCAGGTTTCCTGTTGGTGCTAACTAAGCAAACATCTGCTATTGTGGGAATGGCCTCCAAATGCAGAGGCCAGATGAGGCCAACTGTGGTGTTAAACAGGAGTGGAACGTCTGAAAACAAACTCTTAAAGGCGCTAGTTTGTGATTTATATTTACCAATTTAGCATAAAGCTGCACCTATAAAAGAGTGTATTTCAAAGATAATAAGCAGGCATCATAGCAATCGGTACAGATTTGGACTTTACAGAAAGGCGGCTCTGAATGTACACACAATGTTCCTCTTAGTTTGATACTGTAAACCAAACCAGGACTATGACATGGACAGCATGATCATTTCTATCCCTTTCCTTTTCAAATAATAAACTGTTGTTCACTTTGCTTTATTTAACAGACTGCCAGAGATATTGAGTCCAAAATGAGGAGTGAAGCTCGTCTGAAGCTGTTCACTCTGGACCCTGACACCCAGGTGATGAAGCTCTCACTAGCACCACAGCCAGCTTTGTTATTTATCGAATGAATCACTTAAAGGTTCTGCTGTGCCAATATAAACCTTATGACATCTCCTCCCCTCCTATAGAAACTGGACTTCTCTGGCATTGAGCCGGACGTGCGGCAGTTTGAAGAGAAGTTTGGGAAGAGAGTCCTGGTCAGCTGTAACGACCTGTCCTTCAACTTGCAGGGCTGCGTCGCAGAGAATGAAGAGGGACCCACAACTAATGTATGTTTCCATTCAAAACTAGAGAGAGTTCTTCATCATAAAATACGCATATCATGTCTTTTTTTGTGCAAAATAAATGCAGTTCATTAAAAAGTAGCATACAATGGAAATACTCAAGGAAAGTATTGGTATGTAAAATAGTGCTTCAGTGGTGCAATGTACTTTGTTACATTACACCACTCAATATAGATTGTCTTCAATGTTCACATAGAAATCCCACCTGATTGCATGCAGGTATGATACAGCATCATTCCAGGAAATGTCATTTACCAAATGAGCGCGAGGTCTAAATCAGATCAGACAGTTCAGATGGCCCATTTTGCCCCGGCTTTGTCAGAATTGGTGTACTTGGCACGAGGAACAGCCATTTCCATGGCAACCAGCCTGGGCCTCCCACCGTGCATTAGCGCCAGTCTGAGGCTGGTTTCCTGCCGTCACTATCCAAGGTCTCTCTCTCTCTGTGGGAGGAGGAATCCTTCTACACTCAGCACTCAGCTGGGAAACCACAGCTATTAGCTCCTCAGAACACACACACACAAATGGGTTTGTGTAATGGAAAAGCAGTGAATGGGAAGATGAATTACATCAATGGTACATTTTGACTGGATGGAAAATGAGAAGTGCATTAGGAAGAATGGGTTTCCTCTCAAGCTGTTACTCTTTCTCCCATAATTTAATTATTTTCCTCCATCCCTTCCATCAAAGGTGGAGCCTTTCTACGTGGTCCTGTCGCTCTTCGACGTCCAGAACAGTAGAAAGATCTCGGCCGATTTCCACGTGGACCTCAACCACCCTCTGGTCAGACAGATGACATCAGGTTCAACTAACAAGCAAGACGTGCACATCAATGGAAGCAGCGATGGTCCCCTCAGGCACGCCAGTGGGCTTCCAGTGGGCTCTCTCCAGTACCCCAGACAGGGGGTCTTCTCTGTCACATGCCCCCATCCAGAGATCTTCCTGGTGGCCAGGATTGAGAAGGTCCTGCAGGGGGGGATCACCCACTGCACTGAACCCTACATGAAGAGCTCAGACTCCGCCAAGGTTAGCAGAGATGACCGGGTGTGGCTGTGAATTACAATTTGATCAAGTTATCTTTAATCATTCATTAGCAAATGTCATTTTCACCTGCCTGTAGATGTCTCAAAAGGTGCTGAAGAATGCTAAGACGGCCTGCAGCAGACTGGGACAGTACAGGATGCCGTTTGCCTGGGCTGCAAGGTATACAACCACCCTTCAAGAAGACAAATGACTTTCAATGCATGGCTATTTAAAATGGCTATTGTGTTCAGGATGTCACACTGGTGATGGTTTTATTGGACCACTCAGGGGTCTGTAGTATTTTAACTCCACCTCCACATACCATGAAGTGAAAATGCGGCATTATACAATGACAGATTTTTTGCACTTGAGGAAACTTACAAAAACCGAGAGGACTTATTGTCCTGTGCACAGTGATACAGATTTTGAATGCTGCATATAAACTGAGGGAAAACTGTCAAATGAAAGTCAGCCTGCTGTGAGACTCAAATCTTACAAACCACTGGCGTAGAACTGAAATGTTTCTCCAGATTGAATGTTTGTTTCCCCTCCCTCTCTGCAGGCCTGTGTTCAAAGATGCATCAGGAACTTTGGACAAGAGCTCTCGCTTCTCGGCTCTCTATAGACAGGACAGCAGCAAGCTGTCAGACGAGGACATGTTCAAACTGCTGACTGACTTCAGAAAGTATGTTTCCCCTCTCTCTTCAAGATATCACTAGAACTGATTTGAAACATCTTACTGTTTCTATATCTGTTTTCCAACAGAGCAGAGAAAATGGCCAAACTCCCCGTGCTCTTAGGGAACTTAGATGTAACTATTGACAGCGTGGCCCCGGATGTAACAAGTAAATCTTTGAAATATCAACAAAACACTTTGAATTCTCTAGTCAACCTTGAACCCAGTAACATCTCTAACTTCCCGCCTGCAGATTGCGTCACTACCTCCTACATCCCTGTGAGGAACTTTGAAGGCAACGGGAGTGGCGGCGCTCTCCTGGAGGTGGAGGAGTTTGTGCCCTGCATCGCTAAGTGCTCCCAGCCATTCACCATCTATAAGAACCACCTCTATGTGTACCCAAAACACCTGAAATATGACGGACAGAAAACCTTTACTAAGGTAAGAGCAGTATGGATGCATGAAAATGATCTAAAAATCATTTGAGGAAACAGAGGTTGGAGCTTTTTTATGTTGAGACCAAAACATGACTTGTCCTTTTTGAAAGTAACTGCTTGGCTAGCATTCTCTTATCATCATGGTATTATGTTGCTGTTTATCCTGCAAGACAACTGGCACCCGCCTCAGGCAGTTTGAGCCAAGCGGCAGAGCTGGATAGAATTATCCTTACGCAGAGCAGCAGCTTCTGATTAATACATTAATGCAGGGCCGGTATTTTCACTAGATCAGCTCCATATAGGAAAACCAAGCCGCCTTCTCTCCCCATCTGTCTCTCTGCCCTCTTTTGTTTTAAATGAGAGCTGGCAATCCTTTGCCTGAAATATTTTCCATCTCTTTGTAGACACTAATGGACATCTGAAACGCCACAGTAGAAAAAGTGTCTGGCAATCCCCACAGGGATTTCTTGGAACTGGTTCTTTGTTTTATAATCTGCGTGATTGTAACTATTGTGTTTCTTTCTTTAGGCAAGAAATATTGCAGTCTGCGTTGAATTCAAGGATTCTGATGAGGATGAAGCCCAGCCAGTGAAGGTGTGTTCATGGACTTTAGTGAAGATCTTGATGGGTTTTAACTAATAACTAGTTAGTCTTGGTCTTACACATTATAGCCAAACCAATTGTTTTTTAATATATACGTTAACCACATGCACTCATCTCTCTCTGTGTCATATTTGATCATCTTCCTCTTTTTGAATCTACTGCAGTGCATCTATGGTCATCCAGGAGGTCCTCTATTCACCAAGCAGGCATATGCCACCGTCCTGCACCATCAGCAGAACCCTGAGTTCTATGATGAGGTATGTCTGTGCTTATATTCAGGATCATTTGTATTAATATAATGCATCTGAAATATGTTTATGTATAGCTCAAACCATGAATGGAGAAAGGCTGATATTGTATTCCCTATGTTCAATCTACTTTGAAGGCAGTGTGTTTTAAAATAAGGACGTACCTCTCACCTTCTCTCTTATTGTTTAAGCACATTTCAATTCCCCATTGAATCCTCAGTGGGAATGCTCTGCAGGCTTTGTTCCCTTTTATTTTCCTGCACAAAGCTCCCTCTTTATTCGAGACCCAACCCGAGGAATCTGTTTTTCTCACCTTCAGATAAAGATAGAGCTGCCAACTCAGCTGCACGAAAAGCACCACCTTCTCTTCACCTTCTATCACGTTAGCTGTGACAGCAACAGCAAGAAGAAAGACCTGGTGGAGGCTCCAGGTAGGTGGAGAGAAACACCGGCAGGTATTTTTATAAAAACAAAAGAATGAATTCATGCAAATATCTGGGGTGCATAATGTAGGCAAAGCAGATTGACTCTGGCATACTTGAGAGCTGATTGAAAATGTGTCTGTACCTGCTCTATTCACAGTGGGTTCAGCATGGCTGCCTCTGCTGAGGGATGGCAGAGTCATCATGAACGAACAGCTGCTGCCAGTGGCTGCCAATGTGCCCGCCGGGTACCTGGGCTCCCAGGACGGGATCAACAAGGTGAGAAAGAAGAATATTATCAATATCTGATTATTTTTAAAGAGCAATAAGCTGTTGTGGCTTAAAATAAATGAGAACTACGGTAGCTGGGTGCGGTTAATGTAACGGTAAGTTATGATTAGGGTAGGTATTTTAAATGGAAAAGTAGTTAACTGCTTTAACATTTTATTTGCACACCAATGTCCTAATGCTGGGTTTTACAAGGTATACATTATTTTTCCTACCTTGTTTTATATATTTAATTCTATGTCACTATGTAAGTGTTAATGTGTGTTGACTTGACTTGACTTTATATGCAATGACTCCTTCATAATAATGCAATCAGGAAAAAATGTAAACCAATAAAATAAAAATATAAAAACATAGAATAGTGGCAGATAGTGCAAACCCATATTGCTTAACTAACTGCATGTGAAGGAGGCACTTTTTGCCAACTGCGCCTATAAACTTGGTACGACATCTGTTTGAAAAGTAAACACATAAAATACGTATTCCGTCCGTCTTGTAGTACGGTGCAGCCATATGCAGCTTGACTTCCTATTTTACAAAGAATCTGTCACAGATGATGTCGATTACTCTGTCTTAGCATTTTAAATCAACACAGTGCCGTTTTTACTCAGTATCCAGTGCTTCCATTATTTCCCACTTGTCATTACAGCACTCTGGCTCGGAGATCAAATGGGTAGACGGAGGAAAACCTCTGTTCAAAGTCTCAACTCATCTTGTTTCCACAGTTTACACTCAGGTATGTACATTATATCCATGTATATCCTTTGCTCGTTGATACGAACATCATCTAACACGACATATTTCCTTTAGGATCAGCATTTGCACAACTTCTTCCACCACTGTCAGATCATGGAGATGTCAGAACAAGCTTCAGAGGGAGAGCTGGTGAAATACCTGAAGGTATTCTAGGCTTTTTATTTTCTAATGTGCCTGAAAGCACAGGAACACACCCTTTTTCATGTCTCATCAAATACAATCTTGTCACCTGGCATTAAAGGGAAAATGAGAAGCCAGAGCCTACATTCATTCAATAGTATGTTTCTTTCTTCCTCCCTTTCTTTTGTAGAGTCTCCATGCGATGGAGGGTCATGTGATGGTCAACTTTCTGCCCACCGTCCTCAACCAGCTGTTCTGCGTCCTAACCAGAGCCACACATGAGGATGTGGCTGTCAATATGACCAGGCAAGACACACACACAGTCACACACACACACACACACACACACACACACACACACACACACACACACACACACACACACACACACACACACACACACACACACACACATCCTCTTTCTCATTAGGCACTCACCTATGGCTTGCATACTCCATATACCTCAGCAGTGTGTGGGACTACTCTTTGAAGCTCTGCAGGCAGTGTGTAAATGAGGTGTTAAAGCCTCAGAATGAATCAAAGTAACCCCTCCTCTTCTTTTATGTTTCTATGTCATTATCCGTTTCTCTTCAGGGTGATGGTTCATGTTGTAGCGCAGTGCCATGAGGAAGGGCTCGAACATTACCTGAGATCTTATATCAAGGTGCAGTCTCTCATTATTTTCATACTGATCATATGAATGCAGACTATGTATTTGTATTTTTCTGATTTGTATCCCCCTCTCCTCTCAGTTTGTGTTTAAGCCCGAGCCTTACTCCTCCACCAATGTGAAAACAGTTCACGAGGAGCTGGCTAAAACCATGACAGCCATTCTCAGGCCTTCCACAGACTTCCTGACCAGCAACAAGCTGCTCAAGGTAATATCTATTACTTAACTAGCGTCTCCATTTTAAGCATTCACACCCTGAGAAAATGACCATAACATACCTTACATGCACGTAATAAATATATTAGTTTAGCATGCACACGAGCTAGCTTTGGCTATTACCCAAGCTAGCTATTGATTTCTTGTCATACATACTTAGCTCTGTGTTTTTTTATGTTGCAGTACTCATGGTACTTCTTTGAAGCTCTGGTGAAATCAATGGCTCAGTATCTCATGGAGAGCGGGAAGGTTAAGGTAGGTCTAGTTTTGCTCTTCTCAGCTTATATTTAACCTCTTTCCCCCAAGCCTAAATCCTTTCCCTCTTTTTCTTTTGCCCTCTCTTGTGCAGCTTGCCAGGATCCAACGTTTTTCAGCGTCCTTCAACCATGCGGTGGAGACTCTGGTGAATATGCTGATGCCACACATCACACAGAAATACAAGGACAACCTGGACGCGGCTCGCAATGCCAATCACAGCCTGGCAGTGTTCATCAAGGTTGGCACCCGTCCCAATGCCTGCAATGCAATACATTTGTTTTCAAATATTGCCCTTAAGGTTAACGTTAAGGGTACATTTGAAAATGTCGCAGCAGATTTTCCATGTTGTACCTGATCTAAATAAATGTGATTCCAAAGACAATTAAACGTACAGACAGAAAATGTAATTATAAAATCATCCTTTTCACTTAGCGCTGCTTCACCTTCATGGACAGAGGCTTCGTATTTAAGCAGATCAACAACTACATGAACTGCTTTATGCCTGGGGACCCCAAGGTTAGGATGCTACTATCTTGAAAGCTTTTATTGAAATCATGAACCATGTAGTTAAGGCTAATCTTCTCTAAAACGTTTCCTTTTGTGTTCCTGTCAGACTTTGTATGAATTCAAGTTTGAGTTCCTGCGTGTCGTTTGCAACCATGAGCATTATGTCCCTCTTAATCTGCCCATGCCCTTTGGAAAAGGCAGAATTCAAAGGTTCCAAGGTGAATGATTAAATGTTACTTTAATCTAAGTTGATTGTAGTTTATATTCAGCTTGTTATCTCTCTGCATCCTTTGATCTTTAAATCTGATAAATGCCCTCTACAGATCTCCAGCTGGACTATTCTCTGACGGATGACTTCTGTCGAAACCACTTCCTGGTGGGGCTGCTGCTGAGGGAGGTGGGCGGGGCTCTTCAGGAGTTCCGAGAGATCCGTCAGATCGCCATCCAGGTGCTAAAGGGGCTGATGATCAAACACACGTTTGACGACCGCTATGCTGCGAAAGTGAGCTTCAGAACACCCTGCAATTTTTTAAAATGTAGCCTCGTTAGTCAGGATACAGCATGACTCATGAACATTTACTGTGTCATTGCAGAGCCAGCAGGCAAGACTTGCAACTCTCTACCTCCCCCTGTTTGGTCTGCTCCAAGAAAACGTCTACAGACTGGACATTAAGGAGTCAGCCATCCTCAGCAACCACAATGTAAGCCTGACACCTGGTGGTGGGAAAGTTAACAGCAGCTTGTAACTATTCTTCAACACAATAATGACTTGGTTAATATTAGCTTAACATAGAACCTCATTGCTCTATCTTTCTCTGTCTCAGAATGCCAGGGAGGACTCCATGGTGACCCCTCAGAAACCTGGGAGCTGCATAGAAAACGCTCTCCACAAAGATGTGTTTGGAGTCATCTCTGGAACAGGTAAATCCTCAGTCCACTATCGTACCATTCAAAAGTACAGAGTCAGTGCAGAAATAGCATAATGTCTCTTTTTAGTGTATTTAACTTGGCAATAAGTGGACATGCTTTTCTCTTAAAAAAAACCAACCTGTACAATTTAGATTTTGATGCCATCTTCTGACATGTAACATACATTTTGTGCAGCCTCCCCGCACAGCTCCACTCCCAACGTGAGCTCAGTTCACCATGCAGACTCCAGAGGCTCTTTGGTCTCCACCGACTCTGGGAACAGTCTGCTGGACAAAAGCAGCGACAAGACAAACTCCCTGGAGAAGGTACAGGAACATTTGAATGATAGGCTATAATTAGTAGCCTATAAATGCCTATGAATGTTAACATGAAGTATCTGCTCTGTGACACTGTTATGTGGCACCAAGTGATGAAAGTAAAGCCTGTACCAACAAAACACAAGGGCTAACGTGGTAGTATAATATTGCTTAAAAACATCCAACTTCCCTTTAAAGTTGATACTTTGCAGAGCCCTCCCATAAATGTGACCTCTCTTCACTCTTGGACATCCCCCCTCCCCCTCCTCCAGAGCTCCCCTTTCCCTTCTCCTTGCTCTGTAACTTTCCAACCCCACCAAAAGGAGAGATTTACCAGGAGGCACTCTGTGAATGTGCCTCCTCTCCCCCTGGAGCCCGAGGGCAGAGTTCCACCTCTGACCCGTGCGACCAAGCGGGTCACCATGGACTTCTCCCTGCTCTCTGCTCCCCTGCCTGACCCGCTGCAGGACAGTGACAGAGACAAACAAGCTGCAGGGCAGAGGGTGGATGGAAATCATGAGGAAAACATACCCTTACAAGTATTCAGTTTGACCTTTGTGACATCTGCTCCAGAGAATGTTGGCTACAATTTTACAGGAGATTGATTTGTATGTTAGATTGATTTGTCTTGCTTGTGAATTCCAGTTAAGAAACCAAAACATACCTTAGGTGTACAATTTGCCCAAAATCCTCCCAACATTCTTCACTTCTGTGTGTCCCACATCAGGGAGTGTGTGTGCTTTTATCATCGCAGAGCTGAGCACTGACTCGAAGCCTTTTTTAAAAATTATTTCTTGAGAAGCCGTAAATGTGTTTTCTCAACTGATGTTGTTTATCTCAAAGCACAGAGCTGCTGCAGCAAATGTGCTTTCTTTGCTCTTGTGTATTTTCCCCCCTCTCAGGAAAATACTTGACATTTCTCCTCTCTGAAGTTTGGGTTGTTTGAGTGATGCCCTTTCTCTCTAAAGTTTCGAATTATTCTCCAACTCTACCTTCCTCGCCCAATAACTTTTTAATGTATTTTCTATTTCAGAACCAGTGTGTGTCCACTCTGGGCAGCAGTGTGCTGCGCTGTGACAAAATGGACCGGGAAGAGATCAAAAACCTGCTCATTGGCTTTCTGCACATCCTCAAGAGCATGTCAGAGGGTATGACACCTGTCTAAGTCTTTGATCTGGGTATTAACACAAGTGTATAGGTACAACCTGTTCATAGTAATCCTTTCTTTCTATTTCATCCCCTCAGAGGCACTTTTTGCGTACTGGAACAAAGCAGCTCCCTTGGAACTCATGGACTTCTTCACATTGATAGAGTAAGTTCGGAATCAGACTACGCTACAAACTTCCTGTTTCAGAAGGTTCAATGATTTCCAGGTCTTGAATGCATTAATAATCCCTGACTGAGCCCCATGTTTTGTCTCCTGCAGAGTGTGCCTTCATCAGTTCAGATACATGGGAAAGAGATTCATCGTCAGGTACAGTGTTGCAGGAAATAAATGATGTCTCAAATCTAATTCAACACTAAATAAATGGATTCATTCTTGGACTGACTGTTCATCATCTATGACTGACACCCATGCGCAGACTTACAAAAACAACTGAATCTTTTAACCCCTTGCTTTTGGTTTGTTCTCTTTTCTGTAACACTGGTGGCAAGTTGCTTTGTGGTTAATGTCGCGGCCCCAGGCCCCTCCTGCATGGGTAAGGCATTGCTGTGTTTTTGTCTCACTTTGCTTAATTCAATGCATGATGCTGCCATTTGTTTTGGGTGTTAAATATTATATTCTAGCCATTATGTATCTGCTGAGCTCAGTTATTTTGCTATTTTCTTCTATAAAGCATCTCTGAGACGTTTCCTCATTTTATTTGTGTTTTTTAGTCACTTTGTCTCTTTCCCTGTCATCCAAACATAGCGGTAATGGTGTTTCTCTATTCCCAACAGGAGCCAGGAGGGGGTGGGGCCTGTAGCTCCAGACAGGAAGTCTCTTACTCTGCCTGTGTCCCGTAACAGGGCGGGAATCCTACACGCCCGCCTGCAGCAGCTGGGAACTCTGGAGAACGCTCACACCTTCAACAACAGTAAGCCTTACTGTCCTGGGATGCTTGTTGGCCTTTACTGACATCTAGTGGCAGTCAGTCAGCGGTGCAACAACAATCTCCTTCCTTAATCAAGCAAATAGAAGTTCTTGCCAAATGAATGAATTGGTACTGATTGAAAACCTCATCAATCAGATGATGTGCTGTGTATTTATTGCTGTGATAAAACGATATCTGTCACAGTGACCATGAGCTTTCTGTGCAGTGTACTCTCACACAGAGGCAGACGTGAGCAGCCAATGTCTGCTGGAGGCCAACGTGTCCACAGAGGTGTGTCTCACTGTGCTGGACACACTCAGCATCTTCATCATGGGATTCAAGGTATTAACTGCACATCAGACTGCAGCAACAAATATCATGTTAGATCTTTATCGCTTTGCTTACATTCTCCTGTGTCATCAGATTCAGCTTAATTCCGATCTGGGTCACAACCCCCTGATGAAGAAGGTGTTCCAGGTCCATCTGTGCTTCCTGCAGATCCCTCAGTCTGAGGCCGCCCTCAAGCAGGTCTTCACCTCCCTCAGGACCTTCATCTACAAGGTGCCAGTCACCCTCTATTTAACCACCCCATTAGATCTCACTTTTTTGACTTGGTGATTTAAAATGTCAAACTCTCCAACCACTGCTCAAAACAGCACAAAATAAAAGCACACATTTAGATAACATAACATAAGTAAGGGGAGATGTGAACTAATAAAACGTTTATTTTGACCATACCATATTTAAAAGGGGACTAAAATCTGTTGAACATCACTAGATAATCTGTGGTCTATAATGTACTGTTATGAACTCTGTTTGGAGTTTTACATTGATGGTTGTTCAAATCTATTTTCCTTCATTCCTGCATTTCCTCTGTCCCCCCCCTCGTGTCCTCCAGTTCCCCTGCACCTTCTTTGACGGCCGGGCCGACATGTGTGCCTCTCTCTGTTATGAAATCCTCAAGTGCTGCAACTCCAAGCTGAGCTCCATCCGCAGCGATGCCGCGCATCTGCTCTACTTCCTCATGAAGAGCAACTTCGACTACACCGGACGCAAGTCTTTTGTACGGACCCACCTGCAGGTAAGTGTTGATATTTGAGTGTGAATATGTTATAACTGTTTACACAAGGCCTTTTGTATTTTTGGTCATGCAGTTCATAATGATTGAATTGTTCCCTCGTCTCAATTCTCCCAGGTGGTGATTGCTGTCAGTCAGCTGATTGCTGATGTCATCGGCATCGCAGGGACGCGTTTCCAGCAGTCTCTCTCCATCATCAACAACTGTGCCAACAGTGACAAGAGCATCAAGGTCAGGGGGGGTTATCAACTCAGAGCCATTATTTTTCCTGTTAAAATGAGGGTTTTGTACCTCGCCTTTCAATAACTTGACTGTTGATTCATTCTAAAATGAAAACGTTACACTCTAAAAATATCTGCTACTAACTTAAATAAAATTAACATTTATCCATATCCTTAAAGGAAACTAATGTTGTACTTGTTCTGTTGCAGCACACAGCGTTTCCGTCCGATGTGAAGGACCTGACGAAGCGTATCAGGACGGTGCTGATGGCCACGGAGCAGATGAAGGAGCACGAGAACGACCCGGAGATGCTGGTGGACCTGCAGTACAGCCTGGCCAAGTCCTACACCAGCACCCCCGAGCTCAGGAAGACCTGGCTGGACAGCATGGCCCGCATCCACCACAAGAACGGAGATCTTTCTGAGGTATATTCAAGGAGTTTTTATTTTATTTTGTATTATTACCAATTCTCTTTTTTGCGAACGTGACTTATTTGTCTTGTTCCCCTGCAGGCAGCTATGTGTTACGTGCATGTTGCTGCGCTGGTAGCTGAGTACCTGTGGAGGAAAGGTTGGTCAAGTATTTACAATCTGCTAATTGTATGCTTCCTGTTACAATAAATACCCGCTGATCTTTTCAATATCCAATTTACAGAGGCCATATAATGAGTCACTGGTAAAGGTTAACACAGTAGAAAAACTATTAATAGTTGTTAAATATAGCCACAAAATACACTTCAGAATTGTTTACTGAAAAAACACTTAGTATCTCTTAATATTAGTTCTTATTTTAATCGGTCTACACTACAACGAATCGGTACACAAGTATCTTATGTCTTCTGTATGCACTTTTTACAATGCTCGGTTCTTCAGCCATGTTTAAGTGTGGGTGTGTTGTTCATCATGCATACTTAAACACAGAAACATACACCTTCATCTTCCACCTGAGCACTGGTCCAAAGGTCTTCTGTTACTTCGTGTTTTAAAACACTCAAACTCCGCATTCCCTAGATAAGACTCTCTCACACGCTGGGTTCAGATTTTGGAGGGGTCTGTTGTTAAATGAGGCAGGATCTTATGAACTCTTGACAATGAACACTTCATTCAAAGTCAAAGTGTTTCAAACTGGGCTCAACTTCCCTAAGACCCCCTTATTTTTAGAGAACTCAGCAATTGACCCTTAAATGTTTAAATGTGTGCCTGATGGTATGCCATCCCTATGAAATATACAATTGTGATTTCAATGTCTTACTGCTTTTTATAACAACATAGCAATGCTAAGTATTATGTGCTTCTGCTACAGTAGGCAAAGGCAGGCACTGTTGTTATGTTAGGGTTATATGCCAATTGTAATTGGTACACCACTTTGACCAGGATTAGATAAGATAACATAGAACTATTTGTCATTTGTCCTGATGGGAGGGCAACACAAATATTTTTTAGTTGTACCTTCCAAGGACACATATCCTATTTGTTGACACTTTTGCTGTTACGTGTCACTGCTTTGGGAGGGGTATGCATCACATGACATATACATTTGATTTTTTAATATATATATATATTACAATTTTGCCGCTTTAATTAACTTTCCCTCATCTTCCGTATCTGTTTGTCAGGTATGTTCAGGCAGGGCTGCTCGGCGTTCCGCGTCATCACCCCGAACATCGACGAGGAAGCGGCCATGATGGAGGACGTGGGGATGCAGGATGTTCACTTCAATGAGGTATTGTGAAATGTTCTACATGCTAGTCCCACTGTGTTGACCAAGCATTGCGGATGTTTTTTAACTATCACATAATAACTCTTATCTCTTTGTCCGTATCTATTGCTACGTGTAGTGCTCAGTGACGATGCTGCAGACCTTGACACAGGGCTTGGTTCATGTGTTGTTTATCAGATGTAGAACATCCCTGAGCTGGCAGACTTTCAGAGGAGTTCTGGGATTCTGGCTCAAGTGTCAGCGGCTTGTTGACAGAGAGGCCTATAACCAGTTCTTCTAGTGAACTCATCATCCAGTGAAATTGAAAGTGATAGCGGGATATTGTGTGAACTTTAATGAGTCGGTTAACAGATGTTTGGACAATGAGAAACCTTCCGTCTGCTCTGAAAACCTTTCCTCTTTATGAGCTCCAATAAAAAAAAAAGAGATGATGGATCCATTTCCTCCCACGCTTCTGTCTTTAAAGGAACACCGTGCTCAGTTTAAATGCACTGTAGTCCTATAAACAAATAGGAACACAAATAAATGTCCCTCTTAGCAGTAGTTAAATATACGTAAAAGTCTACACTCTTGTTTTGAGGGTGGCGTTTAATGAAGTGTGTGTTTATCTGTGTGCCCAGGAGGTGCTGATGGAGCTGCTGGAGGAGTGTGCTGACGGCCTCTGGAAGGCGGAGCGTTATGAGCTCATCGCTGATGTTTACCGGCTCATCATCCCCATCTACGAACAGCGCAGAGACTTTGAGGTAAACTGCACAGTGATAGAACACGGGTCGCATGTTATCAGTACATACACCTGCCAGAGGACAAGGTGTGCATCTCAGAGAGAACACTATCCAGCCTATCTATATATCTTGGTACAGATGCTTTTAAAGACAAAATAATGGATTTTAACTAGTGTGTTGTAATATTAAAAAGTTAAATTAAGTAATAGTTAAAGTTGGGTATGTTAATCTTTAAAGTGAAACTTATTTTAAAAAGCAGTAATTATTTTACACAGGCATCCTTGCCCATTTTATTAATACTGCTACATCCTTACTTTGGTCTGGGTCTATTAACTTATGGAGGTTGAATGTTAGACAACTTATATTCTTTGGCAACTAACTCATACATGTTGATGAATTAAAGGAAAAGGTGTCAAAGATTTAGTTATAACCATTTATAAAACATAATCAACAGAATGTGAAGTTGTGTTAAAATGGCAATTTGTGTTCACTGCATAACTGACTTAAAGGGGACCTATCATGCAAAATGCACTTTTGTACGTCTTTTATACATGAATATGTGTCCCCGGTGTTCCAGGGAACTCACCAAGTGTCAGAAAACACCACCCTCTCTATTTTCCTCCATACCCAAATCTCTTAAAAAGGGGCTGCAACGGATCTGATACAGACTGATCCAGATTTGAACACTTCTATGACGTCACAGAAGTGGCGCTACGGCTATTGGGCCTACTCCACCAATCAGGAGGAGACGGCCACGGAGATTGCCGTTCGAAAGCGCTGGAGACGCTGTAGTACATATTTAAGGCCACCAGACGGTGCTGTTCTCACTGAATCCGAGCATGAAAGGCAGTGTTAAATTGAGCGAAATGAGGAATGGATAAAATGCATGATCTGTTTGGTATTTTGAAAAATAAAACGTATAAATATAACTTATATAGGTATGGCCCTACAATATATTATTCAAATATAGCATGATAGGTCCACTTTAAGTATCCCACTTTTAATTGATTATACTGTGCATCGCATTCCAAAGATTCCTTGTAACATGATATTCCCTGTTTCTTTTTTGGTCATAGCAGTTCAGTCAACATCTACCTCCAGTGGGACGTCAATATCTGCCTTGAGCGGGGCGTCAACATCTGCCTAAAGTGATGGAGGTTGAGTGCATTCTGGCAAACGACTGCTGGGCAACGATACGGTCAGAGTCGGCCTGCTTCGGACAGGTAAGCAGCTACATTTATAAAAGACAAACAACCCACTTGCAATTCTTACACAACTGAATTGTGCATTTCACCACGTTAATAGAGATTTTCCTTCTCTCCTCCTTCCCCTCCAAGGCTGCGGTAAGTCTGTGAAGGTTTAGCAGTGTGTTGGCCTGGTGTGCTGTTCTGTCCTTGCATAATTTTATTGTTTGAGGTTTATTTGTTGTTAAATGAATGGCAACATGTAACTTTCTAGTGGCTTGTGTGTTGGTGGAGAAGTAGTAGTTAAATTCAGATATTGAGTCAGCGGTATTTTTAGTGTTATAAATATTATCTCCCAAAGTAAAATAGTAAAATTGCACTTAGACTGATTTCTGTAATCCAAGGTGCTTCTTTGGATACACTCCCTGATAACCTGTAGTTATACCGGCCTGCCTCCACCCCGTTTCCATAGATACCACTGAGAAGCTGTAACATATGCTTGATACAATAGATTATTTTTGTGAGGTGACCTGGTGAAGTGTGCTTGTTGTCATTCCCTTCTTTTCTTTCTTTTATATTTTTTGACTTGGCATGTGGTGTTGGGTTTTAATTCACCAATGTTGAAATTAGCTAAATTAGATAAGACAACTGCCTTTCCAGGGATTGCCTTTTCCTAGCTACTTAATATAGTAACGGATCATTCCTGAGCAGGCCCTTGACCTCCTTCTCCTCGTCCACAGGGCTTCTTTGAGGATGAAGATGGAAAAGAATACATCTACAAGGAGCCAAAGTTCACTCCGCTGTCAGAGATTTCCCAGAGGCTCCTGAAGCTCTACTCCGACAAGTTTGGTCAGGAGAACGTCAAGATCATTCAGGACTCCGGCAAGGTGGGATCACATTTGTGTTTATTTATATAACTTTGTCACAAAATGTTAAACTATCGGTTTTCCACTGGTGTTTTACCTCTATCTATGTTTAAATCTAGATAAAATATCTTTGTGTACACCCAGGTGAACCCTAAGGACCTAGACTCCAAGTATGCCTACATCCAGGTGACCCACGTCACACCCCACCTAGACGACAAGGAGCTGGAGGACAGGAAGACTGACTTCGAGAAAAGTCACAACATCCGGCGCTTTGTGTTCGAGACGCCGTTCACTGTGTCGGGAAAGAAGCAGGGAGGGGTCGAGGAGCAGTGTAAACGGCGGACCGTTCTCACCAGTAAGTCGCACAGCAGTGAAGATGACAAACAGGAAATATAAGGTGCAATAGGAAAGTCTTTACAGTCAGCCTTATCACTGAGAGGAAGCAGAAGGAATTCCTTGTTTTCATCTGTTATGGTTCCCTTCTTGTCATTCAGCTGAAACATTAATCAGATAAGGTCAGGGGAAGTTTATTACTGACCCGTCATCTTCATCCCAAAGTACATGTGTTATCTAATCATTAACTCTTTATGACATTTGAAAGCATCCTTTTCGTCTTCCCACCATATTTTTCTCCCGCAATCCCATTCCTCTGCAGCCACCCATTGTTTCCCATACGTGAAGAAGCGTATAGCCGTCATGTACCAACACCAGACCGACATGAGCCCCATCGAGGTGGCCATAGACGAGATGAGTGTGAAGGTGGCAGAGCTGCGCCTGCTGTGCTCCGCCTCTGAGGTGGACATGATCCGCCTGCAGCTCAAACTGCAGGGCAGCATCAGCGTCCAGGTACAGGGGGGTCATGCTGGCGACCGAATAAAAGTTGATTAGTAACATTAACACAATTCGTTTTTGGATTATAATTTTCTTAAATCTTATGTTTAAATATTTAAATGAAGCATTATATTGCTAACTTTTGTTTTTCAAGAGAAATCTACAGACACAAATAAATAAAATGAAAACAATCTATTTGAATTTGGCACCTTGCATTTGTTGTAATTTCTGATCTTTAACCTTTTTTGTTTTCCAGGTCAATGCCGGTCCTCTTGCTTATGCCAGAGCTTTCCTCGATGACAGCAGTGCCAAGAAATATCCTGACAACAAGGTCAAACAGCTCAAAGAGGTGTTCAGGTACTTATCAATGATGGAGATATTTGCATATGTAAAACAACGTGATATTTTAATTGTATTCAACAAAAATAAATATAGAAATACCGTTATACAGACATTGTATCTCAGGATATGCTGTAGTTCTATGAAAATAAAGTTTACCCAAATACTGCATATGGTAGTGTAGATAAATTAATATGTATCTTTATTTGATTGTATTTTCTCCTCATAGCATTGTGAAGCACCTTGAGATGATGTTGTTTTTAAAGTGTGCTATATAAATGACATGTATTATTATTAAATGTATTACAAATATATTTTTTATTATGTATAGTGTTTATGTCAATAAACTAGTTTGTAAACTTTTTTCAATTCAACCCCTCAGGCAGTTTGTGGACGCCTGCGGTCAGGCGCTGTGCGTGAACGAGAGGCTGATCAAAGAGGACCAGCAGGAGTACCAGGATGAGATGAAGGCTAACTACAGGGACCTGGCCAGGGAGCTGTCGAACATCATGCATGAGCAGGTATTAACCCCTGGGGTCGATACAGTATGTGAAATACATCATTCAGACCAGGGCCTGCTGAAAATATGCAAGCATATGTGCATCACACCTGTTGTATTGTGCAGTGGCGAACCGTGTCTATCACAACTGGGCCTTCTCTAGACACACACACACACCCTTGTCGTCTTGAAAAGGGTACCCACAACAATTCCGCAACAACATCATCTTCACCAAACAATAAAACGGCATATGAATTGCTTCGTGGCATTCATCTAGGTCCTCTGTCTCGAGCCAGTTAACTAGCGGGCCTTCTAGAATACCCTGGCACCGAGGAAAACTCTGAAAGAACACGCCCATTGGCTACAAATCAATATATGATTGGTTGATCAAACTGTCAGTCCAAAGGTACGCTCTCATTCAGTGCAACGGCCAGGGCATTCTATCAAGGAGAATACCTTGGTTGAAGGATATTCTACCCAGAGACCCAGAACAATATCTGATTGGTTGCTTTTTTTTTTCTTACTCAAAGCCACTGAAATGCGGAGTGCCTGGTCCGAGAAGAACAAACAAATCAACGTAACACTGTAATATTACAGATCAACAACACAGATATGATTCTCATTTATTCATTTTACATACATTTATATACATTTACATACATTTTATTACATTTATTTATATAATTAAATCGAATTTTTGTTTGTTTGAAGGCCCTGACGGTTCGCCACTGGTATTGTGCAATTACACAAATCCTGCCCATTAGAACCAAGATAGTGAACTAATCAAAATAACCCCCAAACAGTAACGAGATTCTAATTCTGCTGATTATATCAATCTAATTACTGTATTACTAATACTACTAATGCTTTACAGCTGTTTTTGTTGCTGTTTTTTTTTATTTGTGCTTTTATGTTTTTTTGTTTATCTTATTTCTTTTGAGATTTCCCCTGTTGCTATCTTCTGCTCACTTACTAACCATGTCTCTATCTCCTGCTCTCTTTGTGCTGGCCTGAGCAGATTGGATGGTAATGCTGCTTTTGCTACTGTTATACTCTATAGAGGAATAGTAAGGGACTGTATGGAAATGATTAGGCAGGGGAGTAAGTGTGTTACTATTTTCTTACCTACTTATCTACTGTAGCTCAGGAAAACAAATTACTTATTTCCCCCAAATACCTTAAAGTCATATATTTTTGTCAAATTTTACAAAATGGTAAATACATTTCAGACACTCAATAAGTGATTGACCACAACAATACCATTCCTTATCTTCCTAACCATTTCTCTAGATAAACCCGGTGGAAGACGGCAACAGGAGCACTCTGTCCGACTCTATGGGCATCTTTAACGCCATCAGTGGCACACCAACCAGTGCCACCCCGCATGGCTCCACCACCATACTCTGATCAGGATGTTCAACACCAAACTATTGCCTTCTTTATCCCTAATGACTGAATACACTTCCTGTCAGTCAAGAGGAAACAAACAACATCTTTATTAGTTTTTGTTTTCATCATGCTATCCTGCCATCAGTTAGCCCATTCTTCTTGTTTCCTATGGAGACTCCAGTCAATACTTATACAATATCTGACTTGTTGCCAGTTTTGGCTCATTTATCATTTTGTATAGTTTGTTTAATCATATGTAAAATGGGCTTAAGCACAGCAAGTGTGGATCCTATACTGTGACTGGCAACATGATGTTATCTTTATTATTCTGGTGTGTTAAGCTCCACCCAAAGGATGTGGTAACAGACTTCAGTATTTCCATGTAAGTCTACACCTTATCTGTTTTGTAACTGTATGGCTCCCATGTATGTACATTGTTTGTATAAGAGAATGTTTTTAATGGGAATAAATGAATACCACTGCTGTATCTGTTAACATTCTTCCACTGAGGCACAGTATTTTTACATTTTCTATTCTTTCCATTCAGGAGGCCCTGTTACAGCAGATGCACAGTGAACAGTGCAGAAAGCATTCATCTTTTATCTTACCCTGGACATTTGAAATGATTGTTCCCTCTATTTTAGGCCAATGGACGTGTATAGAATCAGTCTAAAGCCAAGTGAACCACAATGTTTTAACCTTTTTTCTCTAAGGAAAAGTGTGTGCAATATTTTCTATTGTTACCATGGCCTACCTACTGCATAGAAAACCACTCTTGCCAAAGACATTAGAAAAAGACTGTGCAAGGTAAGCCAAGGGTGGCACAATTTGTAATCTACCCCCTTTGTTTCTTTGTCTGTCATGCCTTTTATTATCTGTGAGGTAAGATTCAAAAGCATTTTTACTTAGTGACTGCTCATGTAAATATGTTTAAGACTTATAAATAAAATAAATAATTCCTTCTTTCATGCCTTGGATTTGTGTGTTTAACTATGAAGCCACTAACAAATCACTTCACTAAGAAGTTGAAGGTGCGACAGGGGATTTTGTAATGTGGATTTTGTTAGATGTGAAAAGGAAGATGGATCCTTGAACACATTGTCACCTTCTGAGCCGTTCTTTTTTGTTTCAGACACGACCACAAGCTGCCCTTATCTCAAGCAGAAGCTACAGACTCACAACTGTCAGGGAAGTGTAGCTGGAGAGTGTAAACACGCAGAGAGGAATTACTTTAGTAAAACACAGAAGATGAGGGACTCATGATGCATGGCTGTATGATACCTTGGGTAAGTAAGTAAAAATGACAGTTCAAGTTTGTGGATATCTTCCCCTATCTTTCACTTATACTCTCAAAAGATTAAAAGGGCCAAATTGTACTTTTGGGGTTTTCCCTTTCCTGTAATGTGTTATAGGTTCCTGTGCATGAAAATGGTCTGCAAAGGCTAAAATCCTAAAGTTATTATCTGAATTATTGTTACTAATTTCATACTAATACAAGTGTGTGTTGTTGAGTCGGCATATGTAGAGTTATGGAGCTAGATTTAGTGATTCAACTGAGCTGTGTGCATTCATTGAAGAGCAACAGGAGTGAGATATGGATGCTGACTCCTGTGAAACCCACTACTCTCCACTGTCACAAACACCCCCACCGTGTCATTGTTCCAGAGGCTGCAAAACATCATGTGTCTGCCATGAGTCCTGCTAGTGTTTTATTATGTGTTTGTGTCTGTAATTTATGAAATAGACAATAATAATATAAGATTTGCATATTGTAAACTTTGTTATAAATGTAGTTTGTTCGTGCAGTTACTGTTTGTGCCTTGCATAACCATGGTCTGTATATTTAAAGAGGGCGAAGGCACTGTGATTCCACCCATGTCGCATTTTTGGCGTCATATGTTTGGACAAGTGGGGGGGAACTTGGGAAGAGAAAATGCTAAAGAAGCTCCAAAAAGAAAAACATCTGCCTCGTAGAGTACAACCAACTCAACTCCACTGTTGCAACCTGTCAATCACAAGGTAGCCACGCCCTGAAGCATATCCCATCCTACATTTATTTTACTCAAAATTGGATCATAATTGACAAAGTGAACATCATGCTATATAGAAAAAATGGACTTCTATACATTCCGACTATTTTGTGGAGTTGCCTCCCTCCCGGCCATTAGGAGGAATGCAGGCTTAATGTCTTCCTCATTGGCTTGATTTTCACACCAGGAGATAGCGATCATTATTACCATTACATCCCAATCACAAAGATTATCATCACATTTTCAGTTTCGAAAGCAATAAGTCTGGCAAATCCTAATTTATCTCAAAGCAAGACGAGTTCCCTGAGAAATAAACTAATAATTGACTGACACACCCACAAACATAGGTGTGATTATGATGAAGAGAAAATGCTGGTGGGTGGGAATGATGGACGTTGGTAGGTGCTAGATGCCATGTGTTTGATCCACAGTCCAGCATCAGTGGGCGTTGCAGGAGGCATGATGGGCGGTGACATTAGAAGCTGTGTGTCGTGGATATGGACCGGGGTCACAAGTCTTTCTGTCTTTTTGCTGAAACATTCAGTCGGAGAAGGGACCCGGAGTCAACGCACACAGCAGCCATGGAAGGTGAGTCCCAGTCTGGATGGCTGACTGGGATGCAAGAAAGAAACACTTCCACATTTTGAGATTACTTTTCCTGCATTTTTTAGAGAATTATTATCTGTTTATATCATGCATGGCACTTGTTATTCTTGGATTTGCTACATGCATACTAGCTTAAGTCAACAATTTGATAAAAATCTACAACAAACCAGAGATATTTGTAGTTTGTTGGACACAATTAAGAATATGAATCTGCATATTTCACTTCAAGGAAAAGGTTAACTCAATGTGACTTCTGTGATTTCTTCAGATAACGACGAGACGAAGAAGCCCAAGCAGAAAACTGTAAGTCCAAATGTTATTGTCTGTAATATTTAATTAAAATCCACATATTAATTGTTTCCTGCTCTCATACCCAACAGGACTTCATTATTAAGAGGAACAAACATGTACTAATTTTATTTTGTCATCATAATCAATCAATCACAATTAAGTAATACAAAAAATCTGATTCCAGTTTTTAAAATGGTTGATTAAAAAATACCTCGGCTCAGGTCTTGTTAAATGCAACGCAAGTAATGAGAATATAAGTGATAAACCTACTGTACAGAACCTGCAGACAAACAACTTTTTAGTCACTATCCTTAAGTGTTTCCTTCCCCTCCAACAGGCTGTTATTTGTGGTTACCCAATAAGCATCTTCTTCATTGTGGTCAATGAATTCTGCGAGCGTTTCTCTTACTATGGCATGCGAGGTGAGTGGATTACATCAAATGCACTTAAAACTAAACTACATTTTGTTTGAAATACTTATTTTTCTTTACGTGATTAGAATTTTTGACTGCAGGACTTTTACTTGCTTCGCTTTTTACACTGTTTCACTTATTAAAACTTAAGTTAAATTCCTGACCAGTTTTTCACCTTCTTTTGCATCCTATCAACCTAATTTCCCTTTGTTCCCCCTTTGTTCCCCTCCTCGTCTGCAGCTGTGCTTGTGCTGTACTTCAAGTACTTCCTGAAGTGGGATGATGACTTTGCCACCACCATCTACCACACCTTTGTGGCTCTGTGCTACCTGACACCCATCCTGGGAGCCATCGTGGCTGATTCATGGCTCGGCAAGTTCAAGTGAGTATGCATCCAAATAAAAAATGCATCTTAAATACTGTAAGCATTCAGAGACAAATGAGCTTTAGTCTCATTTGGAGTATACAGTGTGTTCGGTAAAGTTTATCTCACAGACTCAGCTGTTAAAGTTCATCCTTGGATTTTTGACCCTCGTCTATCTTATCTCTATCTGAACTTGTGCACCTGTTTCAATCTTTGCTCCTTCTCCCCCCTCCCTCTGCACAGGACGATTGTTTACCTTTCCATTGTATACACGCTGGGACAGGTTGTCATGGCAATAAGTGCTATCCATGACCTCACAGATGCAAACAAGGATGGAACCCCCGACAACATGACCTTACACGTGTGAGTGGAACTCAGACAAGTGTGTGAGAGAAGTACAATAGATCCCCAGGTACAGATATGTGCTAATGTGTGTGTGTGTCCTCAGAGCTCTGTCCATGGTGGGTCTGATACTCATCGCCCTGGGGACGGGAGGCATCAAACCCTGCGTGGCTGCCTTCGGTGGAGACCAGTTTCTAGACCATCAGGTTAGATGTTCCTCAAGCACACAAGTCGTTCTCGCACATACTGTACTTTATACCAATGGCAGGGGAGATCAAATACCAGAGACACCTCTACAATTGAAGTGCATTCAAGATGCAATCAATATTATTTAAATGTTTGTATGGGTTAACAAGGTTTACATATTAGAAAATAATCATTTAGAAAATATTGTTAAGACATTCTAACCCAAACTTCCTAATATAGGGAATTTAGGAGAGTGAAACTGAACAAAATAATTTATAATGCAACACAGTACACACAGCAGGACATCTGCTCAGAGACAAGTTATTTTATGCTACAATATCCAATTATGTACGTTCAGGCATGCACACAGCACATGCAGGACCCAAGTAATATCTCTCTCTCTGAAAACACACACACACACACACCACAAACATGCAATTAAAGAGCCAACTCACTCAGCTATCAGTGGCACCTCGTCAGCACTTCTAGTATCTAGCTAGTTGTTTATTAACTAATAATAGGTACAGGCACCTCTGTCTCAGTGACTTTATGACACTGTTCAAGGCCAGGGTCATATCAATGACCCCAGTGAAATGGGACATTATATAAAACGTATCCAATATTATTTTGAAAAATAATTATTGATTTTGTCTTGCCAACAGGAGAAGCAGAGGAGCACGTTCTTCTCCATCTTCTACCTGTCCATCAACGCTGGCAGTCTGCTGTCTACTGTCATCACCCCCATCCTCAGAGGTACATTAGTGGTGATTACAAAGCATAAAACACACCAATGAGTCATATGCTTCATAGTAAAATAAATGTGTGTGTGTGTTTCCAGCTCAGGAGTGTGGTATTAACACCAAGCAGTCGTGCTACCCTCTGGCCTTTGGAGTCCCTGCTGCTCTCATGGTGGTAGCTCTGGGTAAAATATATATATGTTTTTATGTCTTTATTGACTGTACCAAGCAGATCGATTATACTTGTACTAGTAAACCATTCATGGATTATTAATTAACCTTTAATAAGCTAATTTGACCCATTACATAAGCCCTTTATTACCCTCTATAAAGTGCGTTTTAGTGGTATCATGAATACTTGTTGTGCATATCAGATAAGGTCATGTCCTTTGCTTTTGATCATTTTTGTTGTTGTTTTTAGAGGTTAACGTGTATATTTGGTGTGTCTGCAGTTGTGTTCATTATTGGAAGTGGCATGTACATTAAGACCCCTCCTCAAGGCAACATCATGGTGAAGGTCTGCACATGCATCGGGGTAAGTGGCTTCCACAAAGTTTTCATCTTAGAAATATATGGTTTTAAATAGAATTAAAAACTTTCTGTAACAAAATGGTCTCCCATTGAGAGTAAGAATCCCACTGAATTGTCCTTCACTGCTCTCCGTAGTTTGCTATCAAGAACCGCTTTAGGCATCGTTCTTCTCAATACCCTAAGAGACAACACTGGATGGACTGGTCTGATGAGAAATACGACGTAAGTGCAGTATGCATGCATACATACACACGAAAACAAACAGTAAAATCAATACAATTTAAAAATGATAATCCTTCTCTGTGTTCGGCTGCAGAAACTCCTGATTGCCCAGGTGAAGATGGTGCTGAAGGTGCTGTTCCTCTACATCCCTCTTCCCATGTTCTGGGCTCTCTTTGACCAGCAGGTAACAATTGTATTCCTGACCAGTACTGTATGTTGTGTTACTCAAACTTTTCCCAGCAAAGTACCACCTTTAAAATATATTTTTAAGTAGTCCCTTAACAGCGCAAACGTAAATAAGAGCTGTGTCTCCTCCACAGGGCTCCAGATGGACTCTCCAGGCCACCATCATGGACGGAAACTTTGTACGTTTTATTTGTAAAAATGTTCCATGTCAAACCTTTTGAGCCAAACTACGGACAATGTTTTTTCTAACTGAGTTTATGTCTGTTTCCGTATTTTTCCTTTAACAGGGAGTCCTCACAATCCAGCCCGATCAGATGCAGGTAAGACACTGGTGCTGACTACACTTTACATGTTGATGATGTTGACCTACAGTATAGGAGAGGTTAAACGATCGATTTGCCTTCCTCCCCCCAGACTGTCAACCCTATATTGATCCTGATCATGGTTCCAATCATGGACAGTGTCATCTACCCACTGATTGCCAAGTGCAAACTAAACTTCTCGTGAGTTGATTTCTCTGTTTTGTTCCTGTGTGAGGGAAACACTACTTTTAAACTCTAGCTTACCCCACAAGCATGTTATAAATAAATATAGACATCAACTCAAACATGTGTGTGTCTGCAGCCCGCTGAAGAGGATGACTGTCGGGATGTTATTTGCTGCTCTTGCGTTCGTTGCTGCTGCCCTGGTTCAGTTACAGATTGATGTGAGTGTAACGCACAAGACAATTCAAACATGAATTACGTTACATCGCTCGATTCACACACATTTCCATTTCTCTTCTAGCAAACCATGCCTATATTCCCTTCAAGCACTGAAAGCCAAGTGAAGTACATCAACCTGATGAGCACACCGCTGGACGTCAAAGCTGGAAACAACAATTTTACTTTGAAGCCTTTCACGGTATTCCACCTCGCACTCACGATCTAAATGGACTGAAAGCAAATAGGTCACCACACAACAAAGGCAAGAGGACATAGTGATATTGACTTATCTTTTTCCTACAGGCCAATGAGGATTACTTGACCTTTGGATCACAATTTACACTATTTCTTGGGCCAGATGCCAGCTACCAAATAGCTATTGAGGAGGGCAATCGCAGCACCTCGGTCATCGTCCAGGAAGGGACTCTACTCAAGCCTATAACAGTAAGCACAGCTGCCAGATTAAAGCGGTTAAAGTCCAGCTGAAATGAAATGTATTTGGACTGCTATAGCTATGGATGTGTTCTGATAGCATTTGATAGACTGTAAATCAATGTGTGTTATCCATTATGTCAAATATTACCTAAAAAGTAGTATCTTTCTTTCTCCAGTTCTCAGACATCACCTCAAAGCCGGAGCAGGGCGCTAATGCTATCAGGTAGCATTTAAACTATTAAACTTTTAAAGTACTAGTAGGATGAATCAGTTTACTGGAGAAGACTCTAAGACTGTCTCACTAATTGTATTCTGAATTCTCCTTCCCCAGATTCTTCAATGGATTCAACATAACTTTGAATATGACATGGGGTGACCAGAGCTTTGGGAACATCCCCACCAACGACATGTCAAATTATGTTTTGATACCACAGGGAGTGTAAGCCTGACTTCGTTATAAACGTCACACACCCTCGCACAAGAGAAAGGTCTTTGCACCACTGACTGCTGTTTCTCTTGTTATGTCAGTGCACAGTACCAGATCAAGGATGCATTGGGATCAGTGTGTGACTACAAACAGGAGCTGGGCTTCGGCAGCTCCTACACCATAGTGATCCCTCCAACTTTCAACTTTGAATCTACGGTAAATACGTTTTTAGTCGTCACAAAAGCTTGAATGTAACGTTTTTGATCTATTTAACACATCTTGGTGCCTTGCAGTGTGAACAGATCCTCGTTCCAGTGGTGGACATCAAGCCTAACATCATCCACATGGCCTGGCAGATCCCTCAGTACTTCCTCATGACTGTAGGAGAGGTGGTGTTCTCCGTCACCGGCCTGGAGTTCTCCTACTCACAGGTAGAGGGGGCTTTCCTCACATATCTGACAAATATTAAAACCAGAATTGGATGAAAAATGACCATGTCTTGATGTCCTTGCTATAATAAATAGTTCTTTTTGAATCTCCCTTTGCTCTGCAGGCACCCAGCAACATGAAGTCTGTGCTGCAGGCTGGTTGGCTGCTGACTGTTGCCGTAGGTAACATCGTTGTGCTCATTATCGCCGAGGCTGCAACGCTCGAAGATCAGGTGGGTGGATTTTATATAAACCCTTAGGAGACACACTCTGTCCTCAGTGACCGTTTCAAACTGGCTGTAGATGGTTTTGAGAGAACATCTTGATTAAAAAGGCATTATCTCCTAAGTTGATCTCCAAATGAACTTTGTGTGTTTCTGTCACTAGTGGGCCGAGTACATCCTCTTCGCCTCCCTGCTGGTGTTAGTGTGCTTCATCTTTGCCTTCATGGCCTATTTCTACACCTACATCGACCCGGCCAAGATAGAAGCGGAGTTTGCCCATAAGGAGCCTGAGGAGAAGAAGAGGAAGAGTTTGGAGATGAGCAGGAAGAGCTCTCACTCCAGCTATGAGAAGGAGGAGGAGACCCTCCAGACCAAGATATAAAGCCACGCTTCTCTGCTGCTTGGTTCTGTTGCATGGACATGTAGTGGTAAGAATGAATAGATAAGGTGAACGAAGAACACAAAGGGCTTTGATATTAAGCTCTTGGTACACCGTGTTAGTGAAGGTTATTGGCAGAGATAAATCTCATTTTATTTTGGCTCAAAATGCTCTTTAGGTTCCTCATTCAATTAAAACCCCTTTATTCTTGTTGGTTGGTAATTTTGGCTTCTTCGTTGTTGTAAATGAGATTTTACAATGATTTATTTTGCACTGTGTAGCAACATTTTTATTTAATTATTGTTCATAGGCTTTTTTTAAATGTAGGACAAACAAATAAACCATTCCAACATTCGTATTTATTTCCAAACACATTGTGTTTTATAATATATCGTCACTGTTTTATATATCTAGGATGTTCTAATATGCTAAAGGATCAAATCAAACAGTTATATTCCAAATTGGATCTCATTCAGGTTTCACCAATATCTTCAATAAAGATGCAAGCAATGTGTGTTGAATATTTTTTTGATGCAAACATTTTAAGAAAACTAGACTTTTTCAGTTAGCATTAGATCTTTATTTCTCATGTCACTTTGAAAGCTTACAAGGAGCTCACATTTAACTTGGGAATTCTCAAATGACACAAGCAAAGATTATACACAGTACTATAAACTGTCAGCTATGATAAAGGAGACCAAATGTACACATGTTGTAGTTATTTCCGTAGCATATGTTTTTCTGTAAGGTATAGATTTTTTTTTGCCCATATCCGTAAAGCATTCCATATTTCCATACTTGAATCTGCAGTTATAAAAATATCAGATAATTTCTTTCAATCCCTGTGTTGACAAGTGCGCCTTGATGCAACTCCTCAACATTATTGCTGCATTAGCACAGTAGTAAATTCTGGAACTCTTAAGTAAACATATATAGTAAAACATGGCTATTAGCAACTTTTTTTCTTTTTTCCTCTTCTTTGCAGGCTTCTTTAAATACTCGACACACTTTCAAAGTGCAAAAAACTGATCTGACAAAAATAAAACAAAGGTGCAAATCATACTACAAAGGACATGGCACTTCTAGCATGGTGTGGAAGTGAGAACAGAAATACAAAAACGAAATAAGGATGGCGCTTTTGGCTTTTCCTGTTTTACGCTTTAGTTTGGCAATGAGCGGGTGTCATGATGTGCCTGCGATGGTCCTCGACCGTTCTTCCACTTTAAGAAAATGACAAGTCAAGGACCAATAATACTTCAGTTGATCAGCATTCAACTGCCAATGATGGTTCCCCTCGGGTCCCCTTAATACTTTTGACAGAGATCTGACTCCATTCTTGTCTTAAACAATCCAAACCAACTTAGACCTAAACATAATTACAAAGAAAAAGCTTCTGCCTCTAAACAAAAAAAAGCTTAGTATCGTAGTTAGTTTGATGATTCAGCAGGTGGTTGAAATGTAAGATTGGACCTCTTAGAAAGAGAACGCTGATTAATACTGAACGGAAAATCTGTGATGAAATGCCGGAACGTAGACGTGTGCATCTCAAAAAGGCAAGGCATTTTCTGTTCCTTCTGTTGGAGTAACGATTGAAATCTTTAAATATCTACTATTTTTTTTAAACATAATCAGTATCTACAAAATGCGCGTGACCATTTTGCACACAGTGATTCATTTCCCGCATGTACAGCATGGCGACTCCCCCCTACCCCCACTCCCCCTTTCCTCCAAAAGTCCACTTAAAGCACTTTACCTGAGGTTTCATTAAGAATGCTGCAATTTGCCTTATAACAGGGAGTCTTCCATACACAAACACGCTCACACGTATGCATTTAGGCACGCACACACGCAGCTTGCACACTTATAGTATCCCTGCAGGTTCATCAAGCATGCTTTCAGAGGTTCTGGGGATATGACGCCTGCATTAGGAGGGGATTGAAGTCTTGTCTTGGATTTTTGGGGAGATTTTCGGCTCCTCGTCGAAGCAAATTCCGTGTGGACTCAGAAGTCTCCCATATACAGAGTCCCGGTTGGCTGTGTTTCTGGTGGTTACTCTGTCTTTGTCCCATCACAGCTGATTCCACGGGTTCTGCTGCCCCCCCTGAGCTTCTCCTCCCGTAAGTGTCTCTCCAGAGTTCTCCTCCGCTTTGGAGTTCAGTAATGTTTACAGGCCCCGCTCACAGAGGTCAAATGTAATCAGCTGGTATTGAATGACCTGACCCCTGACTTTTAACCTTCTGACCCAGCTCTGGAGTTGGTG